TAGGATTGTTCTTCATGTTTAGAAGTGTAGAACAAGGGGTTGGAAGGTAGTTCTAAATCCAAGAACAGACTTAGAAGACAAATGACCGGTTCGCCAGAAAATAACCTTTTAGGGGTTATTTGTGTTGATATGGGTTTTGTGATGATATATAAAACCTTGTTAGGAGCTTGACTAAAGTGTTCCTAACTTTTGCCGGAGTTTCGTCGGAGTTTCGCCGGAGTTCACCGGAGTATCGTCGGGGCTCAACCGAGAAGGGTAGAACTTCTTTAAGCTCATTCGAGGTGAGGATGGCTGACTATATTGCTTATAATTAGTGAGTTAATTTCATAAGATTACCTAAGGTATTAAATGTGATTTTCATGGATTATTAATAGATAATAATGCCTAAATGAAAATACTATTGCATGTGAGTAAATAAAGCATGATATACAAATTTGGAAGAAATTGTGTATGATTATGTGATATGAAAGAAATGGCATGATAATGGAATTAACTATGAAAATGCTGTGATAAGATATACTTTTAATTCATGTAACGAATTCATGAATGGATAAAAGTGATATTTTTGATATTGAAATTTAATCATATTTGGATAGGAAAATCCATTGAGATGAATTATTCGACTATGAATTAAGAACTTGGTTGTTCTAAGATTATCCGACTAGTACTGAAATACTAGTCATGAGATTAATGTAAATAAATAATGGAATTAATCCTAAGAGATAGGATTGTGAATGGAGGTAGGCCTAAAGACTACCCAAGTGAATTGAGTCTAGGCATAGTATTTGCTTGAGAATTGGACTATGAAAATAAATTAGAGTCGGACTCTAGGATTGCATGGAAATGTAGTTGGGCCGAGCCCTTGCCATGTAAGGTGATTAGCATGGAAACGTAGTTGGGCCGAGCCCTTGCCATGTATTTGTGATCTTCGTGGAAGCGTAGTTGGGCCGAGCCCTTGCCACGAAGTTATGGTTAGTATGGAAACGTAGTTGGGCCGAGCCCTTGTCATACAATTTTAATGTGTTAAATTGAGTTGAAGGTTTGTATAGAAATGTAGTTGGGCCGAGCCCTTGCTATACAATCGGGACTCGAGGGAACCCTATGGGGTTGTCGTGACTTGTAGTCACGGGGAATTAAAATGGTAAATTCTAAATGAATATGGGTCCACGGGCCGACTACTTGACTTTATATACAGTAAGTATAAATTTTAAAAGGGGTAACCGAGGGTTATGGCCTATAATATATTATCACCCTGGATTGAGGGTCTTAGAAATTGAAACATTGATTATACTTAGTGTAGTTGTCATTGTACTTGTCAAATGCTTCCAAGTACTGAATGGGGAGGCCACCTCACAGTTTCAGGTAGAACTTGAAGGTTGCTGCCACCGCCCGTTGCTTCGGGAAGATCAAAGGAAGAAGACGTGGTTCGGGCTTCTTCGTTTCTATTTTGAAAACAATTCAAATAATGCTCATGGATACTATTTTCTGAATAATTATTTTGAAGGCTTGTATGCCTAGTTATGCCAAATGTGGCTTGAACAGTTGTAATATTGTTTCCGCTGCTTAAATGAATGTTTTTACATTATGTTTGTTTATGGATGTAGTATGTGTGAATGATATTCCAGATGCCTTGTATTGTATGAATGTGTTGAACTGCGGTTGACAATTTGTACTGTATGGTGGGTTGTTGACGTGTCCGGATAGGTCCGGGGCGTGACAATTTAATTGGTATCAGAGCCTTAGTCCGTAAACATCATAATGAAGCTTCAAAATTCTTTTTGAGAAATGAATTTGAAAACCATGAGCATAAAAAGTTTTGTACTTATGGAACTTTTGGTACTTGAGTTGCAATGTCTCTAATTGTTAAGATGGTACCCTTAACAATTGGTATGGCGGTGATTTGAACCAAAGGGGGTCGTTAAGTGCATATCCATCATTTGACACTTGATACGGGTCTAATGACTCATTCTCAATTTCTTTCAGAAATGGAACGTACCGGGAAAGTAACTAGGAGGAACCTGACTGGCCGGGCACCAGGAGGTTCCGTGCAAGGCAGCAGGGGGGCTTCTAGAGTGTCCATGGGACAAGGCCGTGGAGGCCAAGATCAGATCGTGAGTGACGGTCATGTGGAAACAGTGAATGAGTCTTATGAGTCCGAGGAGGATTCAACGTATCAACCAGAAACCGAGCCGGTTGAGACCCCATTTGATGGGGAATATGACGATGACGATGATGAGGAGAGCGACGATGATGTCGCTCTAGAAAGAATGGAGGAACTACTCCGTCAGTATCAACAGGATCGCCAAAGGCGTCGGGCAAGGTGTGCTTTGGGAGGGGTTTCAAGAAGAGGAAGCCATGTGGGTTCTAGGGGACATGTAGAGTCCCGACAGGATCGAGGTGCTGAGATCCCAATAATAAGGATCTCAAAGTACCTCAAAGAGGCGAGAGACTTGGGGTGCAAACTGTTCGATGGAACAGGCCGGGGACATCTCCATTGCGGCCGAGTGGATCAAAAGATTCAACGAAGCGGCTCTTGATATGCAGCTGCCGCCGAACATGAAAATGAAGGTAGCAAACATGACAAAACCTGACCAGGTTTGCTCCGACCGGTCTGCTCGATTGAATCATGCCCGTATCCTGACCAGGAAGCACACATCAGCCCAAACCTGGATATCCTTTGCATTGCCTGCTCCGCGTCTAACATTTTTCTTCAAGATATCTTTATAAAATTATTCCTTATAAAAATATATATATACTACGTATAATATAACAAATTTAGCTTTAAGTTATCTTTTTTAGTTGTTAATATGACCAGAAAGCTGAAGCAACATTGAGAGACTAGTTCCAGATATAAATCATTAAACAAGAAAAACGATGCAATATTGCTCGGTATTATACAACTTTTTAGGGTTCTATAATAGATGTGTAAAAATAAAACCTTGCCTCTCAACACAACACATAGATTTTGAGATATATGATAATAATAATAATGAAAAAAAATACGAGCGAATGTGCAAGCGATGTTAATGAATATCTAAATATAGATGATGTAAATTAAAATTAAATGATTCGGGATATTTAAATTTTTTAAATTTAGGTATATACAATATCCAAAATACTACGGAGTTTTTACTATGTATTTTTCAACAAAAAGAAAGCAAAAGGGGAAGTGTAAACTGTAAAGAAGCATTGAAAGCAAACCAAGTAACCAACCGACATTTTTAGATCAAAGCAATCCAAAAGACATAAAAGGTAGAGCGTGGATATGCATCGGCCTGAAATAAACAAGCGGCTATGAGCCTTCGTGGCCGTATCTCGTACGAGTAATAACTCCAATTTTATACGGAGTATTTGAGTTTTTTGTTTTCATTTTCAGTTTTTAAATCTGCACACATGTTTTTCAAATTTCTATTGTTTTCCATTTCGTTTTTCAAAACCCTAAAGTAAGTACGTACATATGTTTAGGGATGTGGATTGGGTCAGGACCGTCTGATCCGGTACTGTTGGTGCCAGCACGGGCCCATTTTTCCGGTACTCGGACTGGCACCGGCCCGATGGTTATAAGGGCGGTTTTGGGCTTGATTTTAAAAAAAATCTAATTAAATGGGTGGGTATTGACTCGGGTCTAACCCGGGGCCGATACTGTTTGGGTACGGACCGGAATCGAGCCGGTAATGGGGTTCATTTTTTTAAAACCGGTACCGTCCAAGCCCGAACATGACTTAATAAGTGACATTGTTTTAATAAGATGCTACATTTTCTTGAAAAACAAATACACAAGACTTGTAAAACTTTGACGTGGAAAATATGGATAAGAGTTAGTATTACAAAATTATTTTCAAAGTCAAATGTGTTTTCATAAAATGTTTGAGTACATAACATTAGTAATATTTTTTTAAACCACGTATTTTTTCATGATCTATAGATTAGTGTTATTATTAGAAACTTATTTATTTTGGGAGAAAATTACGGTACCTAAAAGTAAGTTAACAACACTAAAAACATGAAAATTCATTTTCCTAATTTAATGAACAAAATATATTATTCAGAATACACCGTTGCATGCATAGATCTCGAAAAAAATATACTATGTAGTTTTTTTAAAAAGTTACCCCAATCGGATACCCGAGCACGAAACAAATACAAGATGTAGTGTAGCGGCATTGTGTATTTCCATTTTGGAAAACACCAAAAAGTTAGTTCTCCAAATTAAGAAAAAAATCAGAAACATATCTATGTTTGTTATTTTGAAGAATAAACATGTAAACATGTTCTCCACTTTTCCTTTCTCCAGTTTTTTAGTTTTCTGGAAAAACAGAAAGGATTGTTGTTAGTAAACTGTATTTAGGCCAGACCAAAATAGATCAGACTTAAACAAATCAAACCAGACCAACAAATTTCTATCCAAATAAAAAACATCCTAAATACAAGTAGTATCCTACATATTTTCTATTTATTTTATTATTAGTATATGCTTTTAATTTTCTTATACCAAGCAAATTAAGCAGCATCGTTAATTGAAAATTCGCACAAGTTGAGCTATTCAAAGCTCAACGGTGGTTGAGTGATACAGTTGAGTTGAGGTCTGAGGTTCAATTCTCGACAGCGGCAGTATGAGAGAATTTTATCGAATATAGTGGTTCTTTCACTGTAAAAAATTATGGGATTGACACAGGTTTGACATGATTGATCGATAATTTTGTATCAAATAGCTAATGATAAAATGTTTTTGGCACGAATTTGGAGTACCCGTCAATTAAATCATTTACGAATTTTGGCAAATCTTTGTCAATCTCGTTATTTTTTCGTAGTGTTTGTGCGCATTAGACACTGAACCACCTTCTTTAGGAACTGCTTGTCATGATATAGTAATTTACTTGTCCATCATTTGTTAGGTCGCAGTGTGAGGGTGCCTGGGATGGCAATTCCGCCTTTTTTGAGTTGAGCTATTTAAAGCCTCCCAATACGGACACCAAAGTCCTAATAGTATACTCCGTATTAATACATCCTTCAATATTTCTTACTGCATATATAAATCAGCATCCTTCAGAAATTGGTAATGTAACAAAAGATCCGCACGGGTAGCTCAGTTGGTCGAGTGGTGGGAGATTTGGAACAACGGACCAAGGTTCGAATCCCCGCAGCGACCGGGTGGAGGTCACAGAATCTGAAATAAGGCTGGGCCTCTGGTGCGCACGGGTGTATGGGCCTACTGCCATTCTGCTGACTGAGTCACCGTGACTAACCTCCCCACCATCCTGTCGGGTCGGGGTGGGGGGGCTCGTGGGGTGGGAGATTCCACCATTTGGAACAACAATGGTAATGTAACAAAAGTCCTTGCCTGACAACTTATATATATAGGATCTTCTTGGTTATCTGTTCATTCCATATATATATTCATTCCACATATATAATATGGGCTGTGCGAGGTGGTTTCCCTTTGGTGCATCTTCTGTTGGATTTTTCTTCTTCATTATCACATCTTCTCGGGCAGAAAAAGGTATATACATTCCGTTAAAAAAAATTCTGATCTATTTATCATGTTTCCAAGTTGATCACCTTGCTATGATTTCTACTCAACCACAAATTTTTCTTCTCTGTAAGGAAAGTTCAAAAATCGTCTTTTCATTTCATTTTAAGAGGGATTAATTAGTGTAGTAATCTATAATCAATTCAAGTGACATGAAAGTTTTGGCACTCGGAGATAGTGAGTAAAAACATTCAGTTAATTGTGGAACTAACTAATACAGCCATATCACATTTATTTACGGAGTATTTTAAACTTAATTCAACTCATTGATTCTCTAGTCTACGGTCTACACTATGAATTCTCATCATGTCTCATACATTCAAAGGAGAATGACATTTTAGAAAAGAAGTGAGAACGTATCAAGAAGTACTCTCTCCCTCTAATGAGACTTGCATTTCTTATTACTCCCGCTAAGATTGTCCCAAACACTATGCACTTGGTCAACACAAATCATTCTTAATCTCTTACTTTATATATTAAATTTTAATCAAATTTGATTCTGGTTTTTGCGACTTTGTAAAGCTTTTAATACTCCCTCCGGTTCTTATTAAAGTTCCCACTTTCCTTTTTGGGATGTCCCTTATTTAAGTTCACACTTCCATTTTAGGAAACAAAACAGTGTCAAACAGTGCCAAACAGTGTCCAAACAGTGCCAAACAGTGCCAAACAGTGCACTCCACAGTAAAGTCAAATTCATTTTCTTAATATGTGTGAAGTCAAACTAAGAACTTAAATAAGAATCGGAGGAAGTATAGTTTATGAATATGTAATTTTTTTTCTAAAAATAATTTGAATACGGACAAGAATATGTTTGCTTTATCGTCGTTCAAGAATCGAATACCCAATTTTCTCAAAAATAGTGGTCACATTATTCTACTCAGATTTTAATAATAACTTTCTTTCACAAACACTTCATTAATAATAGTGTCAATTAATAATAGTGCGAAATTAAAACGTGTGGAATAAAGGGAGTAATTGGTGAAAGATAATTGTGTGCCCCATTTCCACTACTTTAATGAGATCAAATCTACCCGCACCCCCACGCACCTAGTGGGTATGTTCATTTGGATTCTAAATCAATCATTTGGAAATAGGGTTTGACCTTTTCTTTCAGTGATTGGAGTCTTCTTTTTTATGCAAAAACAGCAATGTGTTTTAATTTCAATTTGACGGATTTTGCTGTTATTACTTGCTAATAAATTGAATAACTATTTGCTATTGAATTGTTTTTGTTAAATTAGCTCCATACAGTTCATTTGCAAAAGATGCTACATCAGCGGCTGCGGAAGCCGGGTACTACGATTACATAGTTATCGGAGGTGGAACCGCCGGCTGTGCACTGGCGGCGACGCTTTCCGCCGCCGCAAAGGTACTACTCCTCGAGAGAGGCGGGCTGCCGTACGACAACCCAAATGTACAACACATTAGTGGGTTCGGACCCACACTGGACGACATTTCCTCAACCTCCGCCTCGCAATTCTTCATCTCCACCGACGGCGTGTATCTCCACCGTGGGCGCGTTCTCGGCGGCGGCTCGGCCATCAACGCGGGTTTCTTCACGCGAGCCAGCACAGATGAGGTGGCAGAGGCGGGGTGGGACCCGCAGCTGGTAAACGAGTCGTACGCGTGGGCGGAGAGGAAAGTGGCTTTCCGGCCGCGGGTGAAGGGGTGGCAGGCGGCGGTGAAGGAAGGGCTGCTGGAGGCGGGGGTGGGGCCGGACAGGGGGTGGACGAATGAGCACTTGCAGGGCACCAAAACGGGGAGCTCCATCTTTGACGAAAATGGGATTCGGCATTCCGCCGCCGATTTGCTGGAGTACGCCGACGAATCCCAAATTACTGTCTATTTGCATGCCGTCGTTCATCAAATCTTTTTTAGGACGTCTTCCCCAGGTCAGATCACTACATTCTTGTTCTTCTGGCTTAAGTTTGGTTAAAAAACTGTAGGGAGAATGTGTCATAAGAGAGGTTTTAGATTTAACTTCAAAGAAAGACCTAAAATAAATTAGTGATAACTCCGGTACCTTTCTAAAAAATGAGTACCGTATATCATTCATTTGAATGGACTACATCACTTTATCATACTTAATTTAGATTTAAATAATTCAACTGCTACATTTTCATTGATCCATGTGGATAAAGGTATGGTACCTTATGGGTACTATAGAATCTACAAAATAAATTTTAGTTTCACTTGTGATAAAATGTCAATTTACATAATTGACGGTGCTATCATTTTGGAGGTACTTTTTTATTGCATGTAATTGGGTGCACTACATGTTGATGATAACTATTTTTTACTAAATTTTCATATATTTTCTTCTTGTAGTATATTTTAATATTCCGTATTTATTTTGATTCATGGTACAATTAATTTCTTTTTTTGACATTTACAATCTTCTAGGTGGATGTTTGACCCTGAATATCTAAAACTATGTACTTATAATTTCTTTAGTAAACTGATATTTAATACTCCCTCCGTCCCATTAAACGTTCTCATAAAGTTTACAACGTTCGACTGATCATAAAGTTAACTGATCCCTATCATTGGTAGGATCATTTTTAGTAAATAAAATTTACACATTCAGAAACTACACTAAAACTGCTACAAAGCCTGATCAAGAAAATTTAAATTTGATAAAAATTGGATATATAAAGTAAAAGATTAAGAACAATGCACGTTGACTGAAAAATAGTGGACGAGAACCTTTAAAAGGAATGGAAGGAGTACTATATTGCAAATCTGCAACAAGTATATACAATCAATTGTGTGTGATTAAGGTAAATTTTGAATAACTAATGGCTAAAACTTGTAAAGTTTAACTCAATAAAATGTTAAATTAAGAATTTAATTGTGGGATGGTGAAGATAGTGTATTTTTTAGGGGTTTTACAAGAATATTACTAAAATAAAACATATTTACATAAATATGACTATTCATTACTACAATGTGGTGTTGTGGTAATTTAAGCTCAAAACTTAAACATGAATTACTATGATTTCATTACTACTCTAGTCATTAGTCATATTTTTGTAAATCATCTTTATTTTGATCATATTTATGTAATTATTTTTATTTTTTAATAAGTCAATAAATTTCATTAATTCAACTGCTTCAGTCAAAACTTTATCAGCTTCACAAAATTCACTCTGATTTCAGAGAATTTTAGTGTTACGAAATGGTCTCATAGGATGATTGCTCAGATAAAAGTATCGTTGATTTCTGCCCAAGATAGAACTCAATAACACATATATTTTGGTGATTTTTATTATTTCATTCTTTTAATAAGACTAATTAATTAAATCCTACATTAGGAAGAAAATATATTAAGTCCTCTTTAAAAACTTTGTCCATATTTTATTTTTATTTTGAAAAAATTCTTAATTCTCTCTAAAAACTTTGGCTCCATTGGAAATGATGGATTGTACTAAAATTTTTAATCCTACCGTACTTTACAAAAATAATACTCCGTACTTTTTACTATTATTTTTTTCATTTTTGTGACGTAGTTGCCATCTTCCACTACAGAGTCACACCCTTCAATTCTTTAGATTGATCATTAAATATTTTTTTTTTTGTTAATTGTTAATTATTGCTCTCTGCTTCTTCGTTTCAAATTGAAAAAATAATGGGAGATTTACCTAAATAGGAGTAAATAAAAGGATAATTACAACAATAGGAGTTTAAAGTTTAAATTCCCAAAATAGGACTAACTCTTCCTATTCTACCCTTTCTTATGGCTTTGATAATAGGATTTTTAAACAATCATTATAAAATATAAAAAAAATCAAAAAAAAAAATAAAAATCGTAAAAAATAATTCAAAAATATATAGACCCCAACCACCACCTCAGCCACCTTCCAGCAACGCCACCTCCTGTCACCGGAAAAGATTGTCAAGTTGGGGAAGAAATGTCATCGTGATGGCATTTTTGAAGAGAAAACAAGAGAAAACTGGATATTTTCACAGAGTAAAAATGCTATCTTTTTGGCATTTTCAAAGAAATGTGATATTTTTTACACAAGATGACATTTTTTCCGGCGACCGGAATTGGTGGTGCTGGGAGGTAGAGGACGTGTTGGCAGTAACCTACATATTTTTTAAATATTTTTAGGTATTTTATTTAATTTTTTGGACTGTTTAATTATTTTTTATTTTTTTATTTTTATTTTATTTTTTCACGTTTTCATTATTATTTTATAAATATTTTATTATTTTATATATTTTTATTATAAATAAAACTATGATTATTTTATTAATAAAATAAATATATCGAAAACGATAGGAAGGGATAAATAGAATGGAGAGAAGAGACATATATCAGTCATATTTTGGGAATAAAAGGATTGCACTTTGAATTTTGGACTTATTTTGCTCCTACTAAGGGCTAATACCCGAAAAATAATTTTTGTTTCGAATTAATAAGTGGCCTAGAAATTTAATTTCACAAAACTTTAATTCCTCTTGTACAAGTATATTATATGGAAACTCATGATAGGGACAATAATCGCTATCCGTATATATCATGCATTAACTAATACTACGTACAACTCATCGGGCATTCAATATGCCATTCCAAGTTGGTACGTGTATGTCTATGTGAAATCTAGTTTGAAGCAGACCGGCTTGGAACTTGGAAGAATACGATAGAGTTATTAGAAAATAAAAAGAGACATATTAAAAAAATAAAATTCAAATTTAAAAATAAAAGATCACATAAAATCACTCTGGTCTTTCTTGTTTTACATTAATCAATGTCGTCTTAAGAGTTCTATCATTATTATTATTATTATTATTATTATTATTATTATTATTTGATGGAGTATATGAGTCTGGACCCCAGGACCCACATACTCAGAAGAATGAGAGGCACAGTTGTCACCCAGTGGGGCTTCCGTCGACAATATAGCCCTCCATCGGCCAGAAAGATATCAACTCAGAACACGGTCTAGAAGCCAGGAGAACCGGGTGTCCCCGTCGGCCATGGCTCCATCGGCCATAGAGGGCGCCCAGAACCGGACTTCACACTTAATTATTTCTACATATTTTGTACTCAGCCCAACAATGGCCCAATTGTAAATGGGCCTCCCAAGCCCAAGACTTGGGAGCTCAGCCCTAATTTTCTCTATAAATACTCCCCTTAGGGGGGTAGTTGTAGGGGATTCGTAAATCATTTATTGCAAAGAGTTATTGCACTTCTCTCTCTAGCTCTCACTTCTCTCTAGGAGTTAATACTCCATCATTTGTGCTTTCATTGAAAGCTAGAATAATCAAGTTAGCCTCCTTCGTCGCTACCAAGCACAGCTAACTGATCATGGGAAGAACTAAGTCCAACCGTAACCTCCTCGGCAAGACCCTCCCTGAGGCCCAAGAGGACAGGGAACACGAGGAGGACGTTACGGCCGACAAGGTCGCGGGCGGGGATGTTTTCCAGGAGGCCATCGACCTCACGAATGACCTTCGCCACCAGCTCAACAGCAGCGCCCCCGACGCTCGCATCGGCCTGGACAAGAAGCGCCAGGACAAGGGCGACAATGCCTCGAGGCAACCGACTTCTCCTGCCGTTGACCCTCAGCTCCAAGCAGCGCTCTCGGCCATCATCGCCAGCTTGGCCCAGAATCCCACCGTCCTTAGTGCACTCATGCCAAGGATGGGGGAGAACACGACACCGCCTCCTCAATCCCAGCCGTTGGCCATCAAACTAGGCAACGATGAAGGGGTGATGCCCCAAGACACGACGTCGTTCCACTCCCACCCTGCTTCCCCGCTTCGAGCTGGACCGACCCCAGCACGTGGAAAAGCCTCAGCCTTTAATAGGCTAGGTGACACGTGCCGTCGTCCAGCTTCGGAGAAGATGGCGGGATAGATTGGTGAGCGTGAGCCTGGCTCACCCAGGGAGAGCTTGGGGTCCGTATCCCGGACAGCAGATCGGCCCCGCCTGGACAAAGGCAGGGAAAGTTGCATGAGGGTGACGCACGCCACCAGATCAACACGGCTCACGCAGCCCGCTTGCAGACACAGGGCGCCACCATGGCCGCCAAGGACCTCAGGGACGAGGTGATCGCCCAACTCGAGCGAAGGCTCGCTCAAATAGAGGCCAAGCAGTTGGCCGCCACCCCCACGGGCAACTCATCCAGGGATCCCGACTTCAACGCCCTTCTGCACAAGGTCAGCATCCTTGAGAGGGAGTTGGCCGAAGGACGAGGAGACCCCATCATCCAAGTCAGGACGAGGACTCCCTTCACTACCAGGGTACTCTCGGCCCCTATCCCCGAGAAGTACAGGGGAAACACCATCAAGCCTTATGACGGCCGCTCCGACCCTCAGGAGCACTTCAGCCACTACCATAACAACATGTTGATGGTGAACTCGTCAGATGAATACCTCTGCTGTTGGTTCCTTTCTACTCTTGAAGGGCCAGCGTATGAGTGGTTCAACGCGCTCCCCGAAGAAAGCATAGACTCATGGTAGGATCTTACTCAGCGCTTCCTCACTCACTTTGCCGGGAGAAGCGCGCAAAGAAGTATTTCACCCATCTTCTCTCCGTCAAGCAGCAGCATGACGAGTCACTCCGGTCATTCATCGACCGTTGGACGAGGGAGACCGATAAGGTCGAGGGGGCCGATGAGCGCACCCTCCTTGTCCTCTTTCAGGGCGCCCTCCGCAGCACCCCATATGCAAGGAGTCTCATCACCGACCCCCCGAGGTCCTATATGAAGGCGTTCCAGCGAGGAAACTTATACGTTGACGCTGACGAGCTCCACAGCCACATGAAAGACAGAGGACAACCCTCCAAGAAGACGAATGTTGCGCCAGCTCCAGGTGCTCCCTCGACCGGAGACTGAGGTCAGGGAGGACAAAGCCGCCATGGATCTAGAGGAAAGAACAAGGACCGCATATGGCGGTCGAGGATGGAAAGGCCGAAGACCCCACTCACTCATTCAGTCAGCTCCATCCTCGATTATGCCGAGGAGCACGATCTCATTGAGCGAGATCCTCGGTCGGTGAAGGAAATCTACGCCGTTCATCAGAGCGACACCTACTGTCGTTAGCACAGGAACACCTCCCACAACACAAATGACTGCGTCACGCTGAAAAGAGCCATCGAGAAGTCGATTCGTCAAGGGGAACTCTCCCAATTTGTTAAAGGTGGCCCACGCTAAAATACGTGGGTAAATACCGGCAAAACTGGGGGCGAACCCTCTGCGAAGAAGCGTGAGATCGGCAGACTCAGCGATGACGATGAAGACTTTGAGGAGCCCCCCCGAAGAAGAACCACATCCACCTCATTGTGGGGGGCAACACTGGGGGGAGGGGACTCAGCCACCCATAAGAAGAAATGGGCCCAATCCCTTTACATTGGTGAGGTGTCCCACGCTCCCCCTAGTCGAAGAAGCAACGGACGGAGGCGATCACCTTCACCGACAAGGATCTGCCTCCAGGCCCCGCATCATATAGGGACGCCCTCGTCATCCGATGTGAGATAGGTAACTTTATCATCCACCGCACTTACATCGATACGGGGAGCTCCGTCAATGTCATGTACCTTGACACGTTCAAGCAGCTGAAGCTGAATAAGGCCCTGCTCAAGCCGATACGGACACCGTTGTCCGGCTACACCAGGGACTATCGATGCCGAAGGCACGATAGTCCTCTCCGTGGAGGTCGGCGACGGCTCCCATCACGCCAAAATTGACATGGAATTCATGGTGGTCAACCTCGAGTGCACCCACAACCTGATCTGGGGGAGGCCGGCACTAGAGGACCTGGAGGCCATCATCTCTATGAAGCACCTATGCCCAAAGTTCCCTACCAGTGGTGGTATCGGCTACGCCAGGGGGAATCACAGGATAGCCAGAGCATGCTACCTGAAGCTGACGAAGCCGGTCGCAGGTGCCGAGCAACGGGTGGACACTATCACCGCCACCTTCGCCAAGGACGAGGAGAGGCCACATGCTGAACTAGCTGAAGAGGTCGAGGAGGTCCCCCTAGACACCTCTAGGCCGGAGCGGGTCCTAAAAATCGGGAAGCAACTCCCACAAGACCAATGCAACGACATCCTCAAAGTCCTGCGATCATATGCAATCATTTTTGCGTGGGGCCGGACGACATGCCCGGCATCAGCCGAAAGGTGATCACTCACCGCCTGTCAGTCGATCCCGCCTCCACGCCAGTCCAGCAGAAGCAGCGCTACCTCTCGGCAGACAGACGGGACTTCGTCAAGGGGGAGGTCACCATGCTCCTCTCAATCAACCACATCAAAGAGGCGAAGTACCCGACGTGGCTGGCCAACGTCGTCCTCGCCCAGAAGCCGCCGACGTTCAGGATGTGTGTTGACTACACTGATCTGAACAAGGCGTTCCCCATGGACCCGTTCCCTCTCCCCAATATTCACTAGTGGAAAATATGGATTTAATAACGGTTATAACGAACTTTTAATAACGGTTCGGAACCATTATTGTTCCAGCACCTATTAAAAGTCTGGCACTTTTAATATGGGTTCGGGAACCGTTATGGAAGCTTTTTTAATAACGGTTCAAATGAGCTTTCAATAACGGTTATACGCCGATATTGTTGCAGCACATGTTAAAAGTCCGGCACATTTAATAAGGGTTAATACATAACCGTTATTGAAACATTTAATAGCGGTTATACCTTAACCGTTATTAAAGGGTTTCAATATGGGATTAATCAACCCATATGAAATGTGTTCCTAACATTTAATTCATACCCAACTCTAAATATCATAAATTTACACATCATATGAACATTTATCGCAACAAAGTAAACACATATCCTTGCTCATAACTAATAAAATTCCACATTCACATTGTTTTCATCCAAAAATATTCCCTAACATTCATCAAAAAGTAACTGAGTTCACAAGACTCATCAAAAACTAACTTTGAGTTCACAAGACTCATCAAAAAATAGCTAAGAGTCTAAAACTTATATCAAATATCCGTAGCTTCGCAGAAAAATGACGCCCAACACTCTCGTGTCTCGTTGATTTCTTGATCAGTGAATGACTCTTGTACGTTGAATGCCTACACACAACTGACATTGAAAAGTAATTTTTTAATTTATAAAATATACCCCATTTCTAAATTAAAGTTTTCGGAAATTAGAAAAATGGCCCCGTTTTTCTAATTCATGTCGGTTTTTTAATGTCCCATATGAATAATGTTTTTTTATTTATGAAAGATACCCGCTCAACTTATTCGAACTTTCATTATTTATAAATATGACCCCGCTCCTACATACTATAACGGTTCTAATTGAACCCATATTAAAACCTAGTTATAGAATACATATTTTGCACTGGTGATTGATCATTTAGTGGACGAGATGGCGGGGTGCGAGTTGATGTCGTTCTTTGACGCCTTCAGGGGGTACCACCAGATCTTCATGCACGAAGACGATGCCGAGAAGACGATGCCGAGAAGACGACCTTCATGACCCCGGAGGGAATTTTCTGCTACCTCGTCATGGTCTTTGGGCTCAAAAATTCAGGCGCCACATACACTAGGATGGTAGCCAAAGTCTTCAGAGCAGTCCTCGGCCGGACGATGGAGGCATATGTCGACGACATGATCGTCAAGAGCAAGCAATCTACCACTCATGCTGATGACCTCCGGGAAATTTTTGAAATCGTGAAGAAGTTCCAGCTCCGCCTGAACCCCAAGAAGTGCACCTTCGGCGTCCAAGGAGGCAAGTTCCTCGGCTAAATAGAGCATTTTTAGCGTAAATACAGTGTATGTTAGTAATTAGGCAATCATCCCTTGATATTTTGAAACCAGCACCTGAAGACAAGTTTTAGAACTCGGTAAGATCTTTCCAACGAGATATTAAACGCTTTCAACAGCACAAAATAAAGAAATACATGATCGCATTTAATTCTACACGAGTTCGGAGTGAAATCAGAAACATTTGTGAATATAAGGTTAATCTGTAACTTTTAAGTAATGCATTGTAAATGAAGTTGGAACAATAGATTTAGAGCTCCGATCTATCTTTCCAACGAGATATAATACGCCCCAAATGGATAAACACACAGCAGAATATGAGTGTCACAAATACATAGCCTTATCTCTATGATTTAGCGTTTTCAGCGAAAATAGAGCACTTTTAGCATAAATACAGTGTATTTTAGTAATTAGGCAATCATCCCTTGATATTTTGAAACCAGCGCCTGAAGACAAGTTTTAGAACTCGGTAAGATCTTTCAAACGAGATATTAAACGCTTTCAACGGCACAAAATAGAGCAAGATATGATCGCTTCAAATTCTACACGAGTTCAGAGTGAAATCAGAAACATTTGTGAATATATGGTTAATCTGTAACTTTTAATTAATGCATTGTAAATGAAGTTGGAACAATAGCTTTAGAGATCCGATCAATCTTTCCAACGAGATATAATTAATATGATCCAAACGGATAAACACAGAGCAAGATATGCGGGCGGTGTCGTCCTCATCTCCCCTGAAGGATTCAGAGCCTATTATGCCATCCGCTTCAACTTCAGGGTATCCAACAACGAAGCCGAGTATGAGGCCCTCCTCAGCAGCCTCAGACTCGCCGCCGGCCTCAAAGCGCGACACATCAGAATCAGGTGCGACTCTAAACTGGTGGTGGGCCAGATCGAGGGCACATACGAGGCCAAAGAAGGGAGGATGAGGCAATACAAACAGGCGGCCGAGGAGTTGCTCAAGGCATTCGAAACCCATGAGATCACACAGATCCCAAGGGCAGAGAATGTCGAGACCGACATCCTCTCCAAGCTCGGCACAGATACTCCAGAGCACATCTCCAAGATAGCCCAGGTCGAAGAGCTAAGCATGTCCAATATCCATGCCAGCCCGGTCATGTGCATCCAGCATCGGCCGGAGGACTGGATCACTGACATCGTGACCTTCATCATTTCGGGAGAGCTGCCTCACGACGAGGAGAGGGCCAAAAAAGCCAAACTCAAGGCCCAAAGCTACACCATCGAGGATGGAAAGCTTTACAAAAGATCTTACAACGGCACTCTCCTCCGATGCCTGCACCCAGACGAGGCCGAAGTGGCCATGGATGAAGTCCACCGCGGCGTCTACTCCTCACATCAGGGCTCTTTCAGCATGTCCCGGCGTCTCGTCGTCCAGGGCTATTTCTGGCCGACGATGGCGCGGGATTGTGCCAATCTTGCAAGGAAGTGTACTGCATGCCAGGTCCTTCAGAAGGCCCCTGGTCGGCCAGCTGTCAACTACGCCCCGGTCAGCACTGCCATCCCATTCTCAAGATGGGGGATTGACCTGGTTGGCCCCTTGCCCAGAGCCGTTGGTAACAACCGCTATATCATCGTCGCAGTGGATTACTTCACCAAGTGGGTCAAAGCGGAACCTTTGGCCAGCATCACGGGGGCCAGGTGCCAGAGGTTTGTCCACAAGAATATCCTTACCCGCTTCGGCGTCCCCCAGGAGATAATATCCGATAACAGCACCCAGTTTGAGGCCGCACTCTTCCAAGAGCTCCTCCAGGAATGGGGAATCAAACTGCGTTTCTCCTCCGTTGCCTATCCTCAAGGTAACGGGCAGGTTGAGAATGCCAACAGAACCATCCTGGAGGGCCTGAAGAAGAAGCTCCAGGACGTAGGAGGCAGTTGGGCCGATGAGCTCCCCAACATCCTGTGGTGCTACCGTACCACGCCGAGGAGGGCGACGGGCGAAACATCCTTTGCCCTTTGCTATGGTTTTGAGGCAAAGGCGCCCACAGAGGTCACCATACCCAGCCGACGGGTGGAACAGTATGAGCCCGAGGCCAACGAAGAAAACATGAAGATTGACCTCCAGCTGATCGAAGAAAGACGAGAGCAGGCCTTCATCCGGGCAAAGAACTACCAACGTCGGGTAAAATCATACTATGACGTCAAGGTACGTTCCCGGGAATTCCAAGTGGGGGACTATGTCCTTCGCCGAAGGGAAGCGAGCAAGCCGACGGGAGGTGGCAAGCTGGCACTCAAGTATGAAGGCCCCTACATCGTCAGTGCTGTGGTCAAGCCCGACACCTACAAGCTAAAACACCCGAATGGGTCTAATGTACCACGAACATGGAATGTACATCACTTGGTGAAATTCTATCAATAATCCGGGGACGGCGCAGCCGGCAAAGCCCTCACATTCCCACGGGTTGTTGATCGAACACCACCCTCGGCCTCGAGCCACTTATCAATAAAAGTTATATTCTACTTACTTTTTCTATAAAAGTTCAAGGAAAAGATACCATATTACATCGACCCCTTAGAGCGAAACGCTCAGGAAAGACCGACAGAGCACATCGCATCGCCCCTTTAGAGCGAGACGCGCAGGCAAGGTCGATGGTGTCCCCAGGACGAGGGGCCCGCAAAGAGCCCACATCTTGAAATGGGAAGCTCACCGCGTCGTCCACTCTTGAAATCGCAGGACGACAGGTCTGGAATCATGGTCGGGGTGACAAAATCCCCCAACTCAGGGATGAGGAACGGCAACCGTCGATAACCGACCAAAAGCCTTAGCCCGCGTCAAAAATAGGCGACGGGACCTCCCTGAGATCATAGGACGATCCAGTAGGACTCCTTACCGGCCGAGGGACTATCAACCCCCTCGACCGAAACCTGAAAGAAGGATACCCACTCCTCGCTCAAAGAAGTAAAGAGGAAGAAAATAAAAGAGGGACAACCGAAGGACCGCGCACTTGCCGGCCTAAAGCGAAATCCCCAAAAATAAAAGAGGGACAGCCGAAGAACCACGCACTTGCCGGCCTAAAGTGAAATCCCCAAAAATAAAAGAGGGAAAGCCGATGGACCGCGCACTTGCCGGCCTAAAGCAAAATCCCCAAAAATAAAAGAAGGACAGGTGAAGGACCGCGCACTTGCCAGCCTAAAGCGAAATCCCCAAAAATAAAAGAGGGACAACCGAAGGACCGTGCACTTACCGGCCTAAAGCGAAATCCCCAAAAATAAAAGAGGGAAAGCCGATGGACCGCGCACTCGCCGACCTCGAGCGATAAAAAATAAGATCCCCTAACATTTGACTAAATACATATCAATCAGACATTTACAATATGGACGAAGCATTCATACACAAGCTAAAAAAGAAGAACTTGGACAAAATTTCCAAGACAAACTCTAGTGGCCGACGAGGGCACGAGATGGCCGGCAGGTAACCAAATGGTTCGTGGGAAACTTACTCAGCCGACCAGGGGGCGAAACCTTTCATCGACCACTCCCAAAGGAAATAACTACCTAAGTCTGTCCAACATTTAGAAAAATTTCAAAGTACTTGGGAAAATTCTCAAGTGGCATCGAGAGCGGCCGACAAGAGTCCCAAGGCCGAAGGTGAAACAAACCACCTAATTTCCTTTAGCCGAAGGTGGAAAAAACTCCCAACGGCCGAACAAAGGGCCAACGACCCTCATCGTCTACACCAAAGTAAGGCAATTGCATACTCTAAGTTAAACACTTGGAAATCTCCAAAAAGTATGACATCACCAACAAGCAGTACAAGGACGAGGAGGACATCTCTCCCTCAGCCGAGCAAAGGGCGAGATCCTCCATCGGCCACGACCACAGGAACCAACTACTTGAACTTTTCGTTTGACACTTAGAAAAATTTGCAAGTGAAAACAAAAAGGGAGGGGGAGTAACACAAGATGAAGAAGATATTAAGGCCGGAAGCGGCGGCTAAGCATTTTCATTCATGTCAAAAATACAAAGTGGGGGCATAACAGCCTTTACATATACAGGCACTGCGGCCTGTCACGTATCAACAAAAAAAGGGTAGGCAAGGGATCATGCGTCTTCCTCGGCGGCATCCTGAACTGACGTACCGACGGCCTCATCGGACTTGGAGTTGGCAGTATCTATGAAGATATCATCATCACCCCAATCCTTCTTGCCAATGTCGGAACTGAGGATAGGATCCTGCCCCTCCTCCACAGGGAGCTTGACGTCATCCTCCCATTCTTCCGTTGCATCCGTTGTTGGCCCATGTCATAATAGACCGACATCTCCCTCTGGAAGTACTCCTGGCCGGCAGGGCAGTTCTGGCCCCAATCCTCTAGCTGGGCCGCCACCACCTCATAGCACCAGGGCCGGCGTTCTTCCGCTTTCCAGCCCTCGGCCAAGAGTTTATCACTGGCAGCATCAACGGCCTTCTCAGCAGCCTTCTTGGCCTCAGCACTGGCCTTCTCGGCCTCTTCAGCACGACGCAGGGCTTCTTCACGGCCCTTCAGCGCCTCATCTTTTTCCTTCAGGGCATCATCCCTATCGGCCGCCACTTGGCGATAGGCCGCATCAGCCTCATCGACCCTCTTCTTCATGGCCGCCACCTCCTCCCGGAGCTGGTCCAAACTGCTCATGGCCTCCTCGGCCGAGGCAGCCTTTTGCTCGACCTCTTTCAGCCGAGCAATCTCTTGTTGCTGCCTCTTATGGCTCTCCATCAGCATGAAGCCCCCCTGCCAAAATGAAAGGGTTAGAATGATGAAAACACTCATGATGACAAAAAAACAAAGACGGAAATAACAGTGCAAGAAACTTACTTGGACGACGAGGTCCATTCTGCCATCATATATCTTGACGTTTCCAAGCTTGTCAAGATAGGCCTGGTCCTCGATAGGGATGGCCTGGGAGATCACGTCATGGCCTTCAATAACCTCGTTGAAGACGCCCCCTTCACGGGGTACTCGACCTCCA